TTTTTTTTTTTTTTGTAATATTACAGCGACTACCTTTTTAAGCTTTTGCTTATTGGAGATTCTGGCGTTGGCAAATCATGTCTTCTTCTGAGATTTGCTGTAAGTTTCTTATCAGATGAGAGTATTACTTTTACAAACTATAAATGGTTATATATGATCTTTTCAGCTGATAAGGATACTAACTGGGACCTGAATATCGTACATTGACATACTTCTCTTATTTGGTAGATTTTACAGTGTTTAAAGTTTTCTGTGAGAGTTTATTATTTTCCTGACAGACAAAATAATGGATAATTATAAGCTAAGGGCTCATTTGGAAAACTTGTGTGGGAAAAGCCCATATCATGGTTATCCAAGATTCATCGTTCTGTGTCCCTCCTTTTCCTATGTACTAGTTTTTCTGTTTTGACATCTCTTGTAAGTCTGGATAACTTTATTTTATTTCGTTAACTACTGCATACTGGCCCTAATTTGACCTTAATGAGGTGCTGAGGTGAATGTTGTTAGAAGATGTCACTGTTGAGAACATATGTGCCCAATATTTGAAGGGATAATTGATGGAAAAACAATATCACCTGTTGTGGTAGGATCCATTTGCGTTTATATAATGGATTAAATTAATCGACCCATCTTTTCATATGGCCGGTCTCAATTTACACAAAGGTCTGGATTGAAAGGAAATATTTCCAACCAAATCATATACCATCCTCATGACAAATGAACCCCATCGAGAGAGAGAGACCCCTTTGAGATTTGTATTTTCATAAACACCCCCCATAATGAGGGTGCTATTCATATAATAATGTCTGTCCTGTAGTAATTGGATTAAACCTCACTTATCTTTTCTCTAATTAACCCCTAGACACATCTAGGTCTGTTGAGCAACTTTCAGCACTTCAATTCCTAGATTAGTGAATAGGTTTATGTAAAAGTACAAATATTTTTCAATACGCCGCTCTTGACATGTGACGAATATTCTCAGAATCTGTTTTGCATTTTTAACATCATTTCTTTTCTTTTCTTTCTTTTTTTTTTTTCCTTTTTCAGGACGATTCTTATATTGATAGTTACATTAGTACCATTGGTGTGGACTTTGTAAGTTATCTCTATTTCGGACCCCTTTAATAACCCAACTATTGTGGAATTATAATTATCATGATGATCTGTTCCTCATTCGATGCAACAGAAGATCCGCACTGTGGAGCAGGATGGGAAAACAATTAAGTTACAAATAGTAAGTAATTGCTATTCCCTACATTTGGCTGTTTTAACTTGATGCTTTAAGCTTATTTTCCAAGATGATCTTTTACTTTGTTCGCATGAGATATTCGGATATTTATAGAGAACTGATCATTTACGGATTTGGGTATGTGAAGTGGGACACTGCTGGACAAGAACGCTTTAGGACAATTACCAGCAGTTACTACCGTGGGGCTCACGGCATCATTGTGAGTATTTGTCCGTTTTTGTACTCCAGTGTAGATCCAAGTCAATTTTGCCTTATTTTGGTTGCATTTATTACCAGGTGGTTTACGATGTGACTGATCAAGAGAGTTTTAACAATGTGAAGCAATGGTTGAACGAAATTGACCGTTATGCAAGTGACAATGTTAACAAGCTTCTCGTTGGAAACAAGTGTGATCTCACAGCACAGAAAGTTGTTTCAACTGAGACAGCCAAGGTAAGAGTGTCTGATTCAATCTGCAATGAACAAGTTATCCTCCTGTTTGGATAAGACCTTTAGTATGAAACCTTTCTATGAAAAGCTCATATTAAAAAGCTTTTGATAGAAACATATCATGAATTCGATTGTTTAATTTTAGGCACTTGCGGATGAAATCGGGATACCTTTTCTGGAAACTAGTGCGAAAAATGCCACTAATGTTGAGCAGGCATTCATGGCCATGTCTGCAGAGATCAAGAACAGGTAAATATTATCATAGAACTTAGAAGTATTGCCTGATGAGGAAATATCTACTTGCTCAAAATATTCATGTACTTATAAAATTTAAAATGCAGGTATAAAGACAATAATTAAACACTTCATAATGAACTTGCTACTCACAAATGCAGGGTATTTTTGTCAAACTGAATTTTCTTTTCGATAAGTTTAGGCCGGCATTGTTGCTGCTGCGTATTAGCAATTTATTTGTGGTATATAGATCTCTTTATCTTAAAGTGATGTTTTCGACTTCTAGGATGGCGAGTCAGCCCGGGATGAATAATGCCCGACCGCCAACTGTGCAGATCAGAGGACAGCCTGTGAATCAAAGTTCTGGCTGCTGCTCGAGCTGAGTCTGAAGCTGCTGTTTGGCCACCTTTTGCTCTTCCTCATGCAAGTAAAGCTATAACCACTGCATGATCCGCTATGTTAATCGTTCATTCTCGTTAATTTGTTTGGATTTGACTGGTGAGAAAACATATGTACAAAGTAAGGACACCATTGGTGGAAATCGGTGTTGTCGTTTTCCTTTCCTGTTTCTGGGACACGACACTCATCGATTTCCCATGGTTCTAATCATATATTTTTTGTGAAAATGAATTTTATGTTTTTGTTGTTTCGAGCATCTTTACTGAATATGAAATTGTTTTCGGGTAACTCTGGTTTAGCTAAGAAGGGAATTTTGGGTTCATTTAACGCTAAACTAAAGTTGTAGAGAATGCGAGTTTCAACAACATTATTTTGACGCAATCTATATATATATAAATGCTGGCTAATAGCATTTAATAAGACATTTAATAAAACCTCATTTTGATTTCCCTTCAAAAACTGTTACAAACTTTAACATTTATATTTTTTCTCTCTTTCTCTCTCTATATTTAATTACTAATAATAAATTTAATAATATTGATTATTGTTAACCATCTTTTTATGTTACAATCTTCTATTATTATTATTATTATTATTATTATTATTATTATTATTATTATTATTATTATTATTATTATTATTATTATTATTAATCCACCATATCTAATTAATGCTTTGCACTTTTTTTAGGGTTAATTAAAACAAAAACCGTTACATTTTATATTAATGAAGTAATAATTACATTTTTTATTATATCATATAATAGTCATTATTAAAACTAATATCTATAGTTTAAACTTAATAATATATGAAAGTTACATAAACATAAAAAATTATTGTAAACTTTTTGCTGAAGTTATTTATTCTAAAATTAATATTATATTTTTTTATGTTATTTAGCGTTGTATTTTTAAATAAGTTAATTTATTTTAATCTTATATTAAAATTCCTTAAGATCGTATAATAAAATGTTATAATAAATTTAATATTTTAAGCTAATAAATTGGCGATTTCTCAAATTTATATTATTTATTATATTTTATGTAATTAATATAGCGGTTCATATGCTATCAAATAGTTATGTACTATTAATTTTAACCAATGATCAAATTTTAAAACATAATATCATTATCTAATTTATATTTTTATTTTTATTTGCATAAGTATAACTTATAATGCTCTATGTTTAAAATATTATCATTGTATAACTTATATTTTTATACTATATGCATAAATATAAGTTATAATATTCTATTTACAGTGTGTAAATGCACAGAATCGAATATTAATATAATTTAGATAGTACACAATATCGTTCTCATACACGCACACACGAATTTTGCATGTT